GTAAAGTACTTAGTATTTACTTAGTAACTATTTATAGGAGTATATTCAAGAAAAATATAATAACCCCAACGGCATTATAATTCTCTGTGTTTTTAAAGAGCAGATTAAGCTTTTAGCTACATTAACATTCTTTGAGGTTGATATGTCTTATAAGCGAATTTAATAAAAGAAAATAAATAAGGTGGTGTTCGCAACCTTCCTCCTAGAGCATGCAAAAAGTAAGTACTTACGAACTAGTTACTAAATACTTACTAACCAGTTATTATAGTTATTACTCTCTTTCGAGTCTTTACCGATCGGGAAACAACGGAAGGCTATTATCTTTTATTTAAAAGAGTATTCACTCTTATTCAAAAGATAACTAGCAAGCCTGTTGAATTCAATTCCATTCATTCCAATGGAATTTATAGAATTATTATGGACATGGATACAAAGCAATATACTAGTAGGTAACTAGTTAGTAAGTACTAAGAAACTACTTACTAAGTACTTAGGCCTTGGTCAATATCTACATAAAATCGACCCTCTTCACCAACCGATTCAGTGGCAGTTACAAGGGATTCTTATATTTTGCCGGGTTCACTTTTTTCGGACAATTACTGAAGCAGTTGGGAGCAATGACAAAAGTTCAGGTGTATGGAGTCGAATGGCCAGCTTAATTAATTGCAAATCTAAAAACAATTATAATTAGTTGTGCAATTTATTAATTAGTAAGTACTTTTTAAACGCTTACAAAGTAGTTACTAACTGTCTAGAACATGAAAATGAAACGGTCCAGGCATGGGCAGCTTATAAAAAGACTCCTGTTTTTAAAGCTGGGCTGAATAAAAATTGCTCCAATATCCCAGTATTTATTTATAATTCTATTCGGAATCATACCAATGCAGCTGAACATTCTCATTATAAAGCCAATGCAGCAGGAAGGCGATTAACGTTAATAGCAGCAATCCAAAAGTAAGTACTTCTTAACTGCTTAACAACTAGTTACAAAGTAGTTGCTAAAATCTTTTTAGTTCTGCGAAGCTCGATAAACAAGATATTCTCTAATATATAAATCGCACAAATTTTAATATTCATCATTCATATCAAACATCAAACATGGAGATAAACTATTTAAGATATATGGCTCGGGAAGGTAAATATATATATATATATAGATTATATATATATTATCCCAGCTAATTTTAACCACTTATTAACGATGTATTATTATATAGAATCTTGGAAACGCCGTCACTTATTATCAACACGTTTGTTCTTCACATTCAGAGCAAGAGATAATGCCGTAGCAATCTCAATCACAGTCTTAACAGTATGATATTTAACCACTTATTAATCACTTAGAAACTACTTAGTAACTACTTAGATCTATATCCTCTCAGGACCTCCGCCCTATTTCCTCGGAAAACATGCTGTTATTTGAGCAGCAGCGCCAGGCTTTAGAGCTACGAGAGAGGGAAATAAAGCTTAAAAAAGATAAGCAGGTGGTCCGAGATTTGTAACTTAAAAATAAAGAGAAAGAGCTGGAGCTTATAGAAAAACGGGCGAGGTTACGACAAATAAATAACGAATTGTAGGAATTATAGTGTATTTATTTAGGCTCGCTGGTTTAGACAATAAAAGGGTCAGATAGGCTGGTAATTAAAACATGTATGGTATGAGCCGGTTGGCTCGCTAACCCCATCACATGACAAGTTTCGGTCCACCTTGGCATTCGAACGCGCCTATGTGACCTGTAACCTGCTGCAAGTTGGTTTCTCAGACCCTATCACAAAAACCACTAGTATTTATTAGGAAAGGTTCCGGAAGAACAATATTCCGTAGATTCGGTATTGTACAATACTGAAAATAAAATAATGTTATATTAGGCCTTTGTACAGTTTTATACGCGGGCTTTGAGTAGCTGGAAGCTTTTATGCAAACTAGTGCAAACTGTCGAACTGTTAAATCCAAGGTTCCTTGGCTTGGCCAACCGTCAACATCCTTCCTGTTCCTATCTTGCCCCCGGTGTTAAGGCACATGCTGGACTTGTACTAACCTAGCTAAGTGGTGTAACACTAATAGCCTTGCTTATAATTTTACTCGGCTTGTCAGGACAGCTAGATATAGCCTATTAGCTGCACTAGGAGTCAGCTATAAAATCTAAATAGATATGGAAATAGCTAACATAGGTTTATATCTGCAGCCATTAAATTTTTCTGATAATAAAGAGTGCCTAATCTGCGAGATTAATGCCATTGTAGGAATAGATAAGAATAATTTGCTTATAGTAGGCCTCCCCCTGTTTTATACTTAATTTCTGTTGAGAATCTCGGGGAAGAAGCTATGTCGTGAGGTGCTAGGATAGCGGTGACTGGATAGTATATTGAAACTATCGGTGCGATCTAGTATCGCATGGTGAGTATCTTGTTCTATCTAGGAGAGGAAGCGTAGATAAACGCTTCCTTATGTCTACGTGTCCTTTAGCCCCTTGCGTGCGATATATCAGATCCCTACGGAACTAGGATATACGAAGGTGCCTTAGGCATCCTGATTTCCAACAATTTCCACTGTTAAATTTGGGAAATATAGAACTTATAACCATGTTACTAAGTGCATAATATAAACTATAAGATACCAGCCTTTTCTCAAGCGCTTACTGCAATTTGTATAAAGTAATCTATTTTTCCAGTATACTTGTTTTTAGGTTAACTCCCGCCCTGGCAACATGTTCTGCATCCCAAGTCCTTTTAAATCCTGGAGAGCCGGAATTTCCACGTCAGTTATCAAAATATTAAAAGCTCTCGAGGCTACCAATGTAATACTGTAGTTTTAAATATAATAATATTTTACCAATGGCCTATTTAAATCAGCCAACAAAAAAACCAGTGCGAGACGTTATCGAAGCTGAGAAAGGGTTTGGGATATCTTACTTTAGAGACTACTGCGGTGTTGATATTATAAAGGGCTAGCTTTGTATAGTATTTTCAGCTCGCTTCCAGCGTTGCCCTAAATATATTTATTTAATATCCTGCCTACAAGTAATTCATGCTCCTAATTTTCCCCCTAATAATTAGGAGTTATGTCGAATTAAACTTAACAGTGTGGTAGGTTATATACTATAGGGCAAACTTAAGGATTGCTATAACATTATTCGAGACAAGTAATTGGTTTTTTCCGGGTATAAAAAACTTAAGCTTTAGTTTTATTTATTTCCTTTACTATATTTTTTATTTTTTTTATTTTTTTGGAATATATGTATTAGGAGATATAAATAAATACAAGCTTATATACTGCACAGTAGAAAACTAAGTCTAACTAAACTATACATAGTGCTTGGACAAAGTATATGTAATTTCCCGCAACTATAAATATATATATAATAGTTAGAATATTATATTCCCATGTAAAATAACTAAAAAAGATGGAGTACTAATTTTGCAATCTGTCTATTATACTATTATATATAAAATACCTGGTGTTTAATATAATATATACAGAACTGGCACATCGCTTTGTTTTTGCCATTAAACCCTGTTATATATTTAATCTTTAATAAGGGCCCTTCGTCTAACCAACACACTCACTTCCCGGGAGTGAGCTAGAATTTGAGAGCTTTTTAAGGACAGTAATCTCTCTTTTCTCGACTTGAAAGATTTAACTTTGAAGTCTAGCAGTTGCCATTCCGCCAGCCATATCTAGACCCCTAACTGGAGGCAGGTGCCAACTTTCCTTGTCCTAATGGGATTATTTTACATATTTACCAGCATACTCAGTTCGTCTTCCCAAAGCCAAATACAGATCCTGTACTGTGTATCTCGACTAATCTTTTTAGTATTATTAATAAACCATCGTCTTCTTGGGGGTAAGTGGAAGGAGTTGTAGGGCCTGTTCTGTAGTTTACTGTGCTGATGCTATTGCATGGCTGGTACAGTTTTACCTGCCTCTGGATCTTGATTCCAGGAAGCTGCATCTCCAGTCTGATGTTGTTGTTCCAGAGCCGCTAAAAGCTTTGCATTTTAAAAGCCCCGCGGTACAGTAGCGTTACTTCACAACAGGGCTGTTCCTGGCAATCGATGATGTAGATATATGTTGCTTTGTTAGGTAGGTGTTATAAAAAAAACAAGAGTAGGGGTAAAGGTATAGCACCCGCAAAACAAAATAAAAGGAATACCAAGCCACAGCTATAGTGCTCCAAATAAAGTCTTTAAAGTACAGCTTTAATATTATATACATGATTCCAGAGGGAATGTATCCTTATTTATACCTGCAGTGTAAATATAAATATAACATCTCCCGTGTTAGTTTCGCAGCGGTTTTTTTTTAACTCTGTATTTAAGTATCCTTAGTGCTTGCCCAATCCTTCTTATTTTCAGGTACGTTGAGCAAGTCGGATTGTAATTGTTGCACTTAGCTGACATTGTGGCAAGGGCATCTCTTGTTGGCAGTATGCCTGCCCTAAAGGCCACAAGAACAGGGTCTGTTACTGTATCTCGGGCTACGTCCAACTCGGCCCTTAGAGCACAAATCCACCCCACTGTAAAGAATTTATCGGCTGGTATGAGTGTCATGACGATGAGCAATCAAGACTGGAGTTGATTACTGCATTGGTGCAAGGGGAACATGGCGGCACACTGTATAAGACTCAGAAAGTCTGATAGTGACATGAATATATACCAGCAAGGCTGCAATATAAACGTCTAAAAACAAGCATAATGATGACTTCATTACGATAAGTAGTTGACTGACCGATCTACGGAACTATTCGGAATGAATATTCTGATATTGACGAACTTCATCTAAATGGATAAAATCTACAATTAATTTTAGAGTTCAGTTATTTTGGTTTCGCAATCTATCACGTAATCAAGTCATTAAAGTGACGGGTCTGGCAGATAGTGGCCGCGGTACCCTATCATCACGCAGCTAGACGAGGCCTAGATTGTTTAAACATCATTGATTCTCAGAAAACGGACTAGCAACATGGGAACTCTCGTTTTACTACAACAGGACGGATTAATCTAGTTCATCTTTGCTACCACACTCCCCACTTTCCAAGCAGAGCCAGTAGTCATATTGGTGGTTCGATTGGTCGAGAGCCCTACTCTCCACGTAGCCAATGCCACAAACTCGCCGTGCATGCTGTGATATGCGCCCACCCGATGAGTTCGCTGAACCCCAACTTGCTCATCTAAGAACAGATCTCCTTCAGCCTGTTTCACAAACGGCTGGATTATGTAAACCGTCCGATTAGGAGTCAGAGCTGGGTTCTGCATGTCGGCAAGGATCGCCTCCCACTCGAAAGTGCTGAGTTCTTTACCGAGGACAATTCCGTTTCCATGACCTCCCCGACAAGGTTTCAGAATGAACTCATCCTTGGATACCTTGCCTTGATGATACGAGTCAATGAGCTGCTCAAGTTCTTTTGACCGTGGGATGATCGTAAAGACAACTCCGTTCCGGACCAGGTCCGCTTGTCTCTGGGTCAAGACATGATATTTGTTAACTAGATCGTCCAACTCCTGATGCAGGATCCCTAACATCCGCTTGTCGTGGGTCAAGAGGATGGACCTGATATCATTGCTGCTGTTAAACGCCAACTGCCGCTGCATCTCAGGAGATAGGGAGGCGACCTCGTCATAAAAAATCCGAAGAGCTATCTGGTGAACATCCTCCATGTTTCTATCTTTATTGTCGGTAGACAAGGCTGACTCTCTCACACACTGGAGCTTAAATCCAGTCGGCGAAGACTCGTCAGCCACAAGATGTAGATCGTCGACTGTCAGTATCCGCGGCTTCAGATCCGCCAGATCTTTGACCATGTTCTCGACTAGCGCGGTGTTCTCTCGATTGTGGACAACTCGAAGCGGCCATTCTGGATTAAAAAGCGCTTTTAGACGGGCCATCATGTGGTCCGGGTCCCCTGCCACGTCAAAACCAAGGGGTTTGACTTCCATACTGTCTAGGGCCATATACCACCCCGCGTTCAACTCCAGGTTGTTGGACGGGAACCGAGAATTGATTTCACAAACTTTAAATCCATCTGGTCCCTTGGCCGGAAGTAAGAAGTCCGGTCGCCAATTACCTTGATGGCCATTATACGCGGGGAATAGTTTATCTTCGGTAAGTTTGTGTATCCACTATTCCACGATTATTATTAATACCGAGACTAACCTAATACACGAAAGCAAAGCACGATCATACTCGTAGAATGTCCTCTTCATGCCTTTTCAGCGGCATCCGCGACGGCAAGTCCGCCTCCTCATCGACAACCCATCTCTGCACGATATTCGTCAAGGCGGCCGAAAGTGCGACATGGAACTCCTTCAATGATGCTAAGAAGCTATTGGGAACCAGTATCGGATGCGCGCACATAGACCTCTGAAAGGGCGGAAGTATGTTTTCCCCTCCAAGATAGCGGATGTAGGCTGAGAGAAAGGCATCCTCGCTGCGCTTCCTGTCTTCGTAGGATGCACTGGTTGCTAGCGATGGAATCCGGCTTTTCTCGACGCCTCCAGACAGATCTGGGGCATGCGGAGGGGCGGATCATTACTTCCCATGGTGGACATTGGTTGATGAACGGGCATGCAGAGGGAATAAAATTGCCTTTGACTTGGAGGGCGATTTATAGGCCGTTCTCCTGTTATATTTTGCTCTGGCAGTTGCCCTTACTCACTGACTGTCCATTTGTAGTGTCTCAGACGCATCCGGCGATTGTCATGTTGGTTGGGTCAATGGAAGGAATGACACCCGGACTGGCTCTGGAATTTCCGTTTTCGAAGGAGTCCCGCATTCCAGTAACCATAATATACGGAACCCGATATACTAGGATCGGTAAGTAGCCACGCCCAGACAATGGGACTAGAACCTTAGGTAAACAACAGACGGATGTCGGCGGATGAAACGCTACGACGGTACCGGGTGTCTATAAGCAGTTGACACCCTATGTCGCCGGATTCGGCGAGATTGGAAGATGTTTCCGTGAGCCAACATCTCCCCTATCTTTATGTCATGGACCCAGAACGCTTTACTTATACAGGGAGTGACTTTGGCCCGCTAATGTGATTGTGTTTCTTCTCCATATTGCTGCGCGCCGAGCCCACCATAGTCTCCCACAAACCTGCAAAATGGGCAGCCTTGTTAAGTCGCTTAACCACCAGCAAGTCTGCTGGTCAATCACAGATGCAACGGGCCAACCAGTTTCAGCGATCGATGCCAAAAAGGAAGATCGAAGCCGTGAGGCAGAAGCTGAAGGAAAACTAATCTACCATCCTGGGCTTAACCCAAAGGACGAGACTTGTTCACCTCACCCAATCCTGACCGACAAAACGTTTATCCTGCGTATGGCATTCTTCAACGACGCTCTTGTGAAGGCTGTTGTCAATATTGTAGATCGATGGTGGATGGACACTGATGCCGACTTTCCGGCTAGAATGCCTTTGGAAGCGCCCGTGGAGGCAGCGTTACAAGTGGGTGATGTTGCTCCATGTCTCTAACTAGACGGCTGATCATGCTAACCCATAACTAGTGGATAGACGAGCAAAGACGCAACCAAACCTTTCCAGAATTGAAGGACCATCTTGGAAATTGGAGACCTGATTTCCTCGTTATCGGGAATGACAGCACCATGGGCCCTGGGTTTCAGGTCTGCGAAATCAACAGCCGCACGCCTGATAACATATTCCTTCGCAGCGCACACAGACACCGCAGAATGCGCCAAATGATCGGACCTAGCTCTGTTCTGCAGCCTGCAGGAGACCCCGACAATTGGGAAGAGAGCCTACTTCGTCTATTCCACACGCACCTGCCGGTCCATATCCTTCGAGGAAGAGACAAACTCGGGCGACAGGAACTCGTGCGAATGATGGAACTGAGGACCGGGATCTGCCCGCGAATTGTCCATGTAGATGATTTAGAGTTGAAGCCTGATGAGTCTTCTGGGACGGGTTATTCGCTCTATTACCAAGGCGAGGGCGTATCCGAAAAGATACATCAGGTGGTCTCGACGCTTTTCCCAGACGAGTTCAGCCTGCTGCCGCAAGATATGCTTCGACAGCTAGCGATGGTGGCAGTGAACGATTTGCGGATTTCATTACTAGTGAATGATGAGCGTTTCCTAGGCATTATATTACAAGAGCTCGACACTTTAGTCACCAAGCATGGCATCCTAACCCCGGACCAAGCTAACGCCCTCCAACAAGGCATAGTACCTACACTGCTCCCTGGGTCCCCAGAACTCAAGCAATGGATGGAAAGAAACAACCAAGACGAAGCGAGCAAAGACAACTATATTGTAAAAGCGGCGCGCCAAAGCCGCGGAAGTGGCCATTTACTCGGCGCGGATCTCTCCCCACAAGAATGGGCAAGTATCATGCGTGAGATGCAAGATCCGCGTATCCGCCCAGGCGTTACATCCTACGTTCTCCAGCCATTTGTACGACAGGTAAGTTTCGATCTAATTAGTGGGGAAAACGAAGAGCGCCATGGAAGCCTCATGGTAGGTTGTTATTATACCATAAATGGTCGATATCTTGGCCTTGGTCCGTGGCGTTCAAGTACGGGGAAAATCTGCAATGTTTATAGTGGCGTGGGGTGTATGGTTTTGTATCCGGTTACTCAGGTCAATCTGAATAATTAAAAGACTTGAAGAAGACGTGAGTAGACCGTTTGCTATCACTAGCCATTTTGCTTCCTGTTGTGGAACTCAGGGGAAATGGGGCGTAGGGAGCTATTCTATCAGCTACAGGCCAACTAGCCTAATTAGGAAGTAGATGTCATTCAGTGGAAACACCAGGAATCGCAGTATCTCAACCAACTGAGCCTACTAAGCGGTTCCCTATATTCTCATTGAGGTTGTTGTGGAACTACAGTAGGTCAGAGGAATTGGCATTGAATAGAGTGAACTAAGCCATTGAATTGGATGAGCGAACTTAGTTAGTATACAGGAATTTCGTCTGTGGGAAGACATATATAAGCGAGGACTTCGCCGATCATTCGGGTAATCCTTCGGGCCGATCCCATATTCATAACACTCCCCTTCATTCTATTGCGAAATATTGCAAGAATAATCCTTGATGCGCTACCTGCGTAGAAAAGTATAAAACCTATTACTATAAATATTCCACATGCGAAGTAAAAGGCCAGGAATATCCCCACACACAGGTTAAATGCTCTAATTGCAGTCAAGCCTATAAAGTAAATAGCAAAAACTGCAAGGAATAGGAAAAAGTCAAACCAAAACCAAGGCCTAGGCCTATAGAAAGACCAATCCCTAATAGTAGCATGGAATTAGATTACTAATAAATTAGGAAAACACTGATTTAGGAATCTGTTTCCTGTAAAATAATACTGGACGCAATTAGAATACTATGTTATCTTACTTAGAAATCAGGCTTGGCAAGGATTAATCATTACGGCTCGGATGGATAATCCTTATCCATCGTAATTTACGATGGATTATCCGATAATTTTGGATAAATTACAATAAATGCTTGGCACTACTATGTACTAAGAAAAAGCCTTAAAGCATATAAATAATTAAATTATGATTCCTTAAGACTTTCTTCTAAAATCCCACTCCTTTGCCAATGTTTTAAGCATTTTATTCTCTTAATATTGTTAGCTAATAGCTGTGCTTTTTCCCATAAGACTGTACAACATGCCCCTAAAAAAACTCGCTCTGGTTTATTACTTATTGCCGGAATTAACAGAATATTAACTGCTATATATAAAAGCCTTGGCCAGTGCTTTTGTTGCTTAACCTGGCACCACCAGGTCAGAGCACTTGTATAAATCTTATAAGGTGACTTAGTTATATAATCTTTAAATTTATCCTGGCTTGCTGGTTAAGCAAAGCCATCTAGGTCTTCTGCAATTTAATCAAAGTTATTAAAATCTTAAGGGTGATTACTTTTATATAATCGCATAATTATAGGACAAGGGGTATTATTGCAATACTCTTCCCAAAGCTTTTTAACTTTTTAAATTGCAGGTTTTTGCCAGCTCTTTTTCCAATTTGCCTGAATATACTTTGTACGACGAGCTGGGTAAAGAATAAGTGCTGCAGTGTAAAAATAAATTATCTAATTTACTGTAGTATTTATTAAAAGGTATCCCAGCTATTTTAAATCTAAGCACAGAATTCTTTATCTGGTGCATGCTTAATCTGTTGTATAGTATTAGTTAAGTTATATTATTATAAGGAATATAAGAGTAAACTTGCAAGGTATTTTTTTAAAGTGCTTTATAATAATATCCATTATAAAAAGCATATTATTAATTATTCTTGGTTCCTTGTGTTTTAGGGTTAATTTTAAAAACTTAGGAATTTACTTATTATAAAAGCTTTTCCCAGTCTATTAGAAATAGATACTCGCTTGGAGGGTATTAAAATATTTTTTAGTATAGGTATTAATAGCACCCTTATACTAAAAAGTAATATAAAGTATATAATACCAGCTATTCTATCTTGTACAATTATTAAGTGGAATTAGTCTCCCTGCTAGATCTTTAAACTCCTTTGTACAGCTAGCTAAGCCACGAATATATATCACAATATTATAAAGCTTTTTAAGTAGACCTATTATATAAAAGGTGGCTTGTTTTTATATATTATTAATTCTGTCTTTTCTAACTTCTTTTATCTTTTTTTTTTCGTCGTACAAGCTGAGTTGTTTAATATCAACCATATTTTAAAATAGGAATGCTTGTACAGCCAAGTTAATAATATAGCTAATACAAAAAATTCGCCGATATATAGGATCCCATAAAATTTTTTTTTTTTTTTTCCCTTAGATACTTAGCCACTGTACAGCAAAGCTTATTATTTACAGTATAATTATCACAAACAATAGCCTTAAGCTTTTTGTGTAATACCGTAGTCTTTTAAAACAGGAAAAAGAGTAATAAATTGCTCTTCTCCACTGTGATTTGCAATTGTACAAAGAGCAAGAAGGGCCTTTAATAGTTTCTCCTAACTTTGCTTAACAAAGTGGGTGCAAATACCAAGAAAAAGTAGCTAATTTAAAAAGGTCCAGATATCTAGTAAAAGATAAACACTTAATAATGCTGACTAAAGTCTCTTTTATATAATATCTTTTTATATCTGCCATGACTGTTTAATCCTCTTGGGGATAGAGTTATGTGCTGTAATAATATAACTCTTAGATTCTGGATTAAGCACTTGGTAAAATGTATGGAACTCAGGCTATTTAATAAAAAAGAATAGAAGGTTTTATACAACAATTAAGGATACTAATACCTTATTAATAATATCTTGATTTAGCACTTTTTAAAGGACCTGGGTATCAAATTATTGTGTTTCGCCCGAGGAATCTGCTTTAGAATATAATAGTTGTAATTGATTAACAGTTGATTATTATAAAGAGCTTAAAGTAGGATTAATAAGGATTTAATACTTTGTTTTAAGATAATTTTATATATTGGTAGTAACAGAGGTGCCGTACAATGATTTTGTATAATAAATATAATACTAGATTAACTGATCTTTATAAAATTAAGCCTTTTTATTATTAGCTGGACGAGTGTGGGACCATGTTATCTGCACAGTTAGTATTTTTCCTTTTTTTGGCTCAGTGTCTACTAAATCAGTAGGCAAAGGCAAGAAACTAGATAAATCTGCTTTAGAATCCATATTTTGTACAACAATATTGTGAAATAAGATAGGACAGCAGGGTAGAAGTTGAATAATTATTGCGGGCAGTGTGGGTAGAATAAGCGGTAAGTTTCTGCCAATTATCCCGGATTATTCGATGGATTATCCGTGGGACGGATAAGGATTATCCATCGAATGATCCGAGCGGGAGTTTATCCTTGCCAAGCCTGTTAGAAATAGGCCTGGAGCTTAATATCGACTTTATTATTATCTAGGAACCATGGATAGCGCCTAATAATAGCTTTACTATATCCCACCCAGCATACACCCCAATCCTCCTTAAGCAAACCAAGGTTAGACCTAGAGTAGCAATCTACCATAAAAAGCTATCTAGGTTTAATTATTACCAAAGAAACGATATTAGCACTGATAGTAATTTACTGGTAATAAATATCTTAGGTGCAGAAATTCAAGATCTGCAGCTAATAAATATATATAACAAGCAATCACTAGAGGAAGGTACCGAGTAGACAATAAAAAAAGCCCTAGCTAGGGTCACCCCCTTTATATATATAGTAATATGGGGGGACTTTAATACACACTATAGCTGGTGGAACTTAAAAATATTATTACCTACCAGGGCTAATACTTTAATTAAATGGCTTGAAGAACATCAATATAAACTACTAAATAAACCTAACCTGTAAACATGCTATAAAAAGGAATAAGAAATATCTTTATTATTAACTTAATCTTTATTACTAAAGGTCTAAATCAATATAGAGTAAATTGGGAAATTAACTAAGAACTTGCCTCGGGATCAGACCACGAAATTTTGCTTTATTCTGTTAAAGTAAAAACACAAGAAATTAAAAACCCCTGGTTAGTCTACTATATAACCTAAAAATGGCAAATTGGGCATTATTCAGCAAGAAAATCCTCGAGCTAGATACAAGCCAAGAATTTAGACAGGGGAGCTTTAATACTGATATAGAGCTAGAAACCGCAGCTTTAAATCTGTAATAAATAATTTAAATAGCTACAAATACTAGTATCCCAAGAAGAAAACTATCTGCCTAGTTAAAAGCATGGTGGTTAAAGGAACTTAAAATACTAAGGAAACAGCTTGGAAAAGCTAGAAAACTTTGGAAAAATAACCCATGTCCAGAGCTCTACGAAAATCTTCTAGAGATTAAAAATTAATATTTCCAGGAAATTAAGCAAGCTAAATCCGCATGCTGGAACAAATTTCTAGAAGAAACTTGGAACAGGGAGATTTTTAAAGCTTTTAGCTATACTAAAAAGAGATCTGTTCAAAAACTGCCTATCTTGACCTATTCTATAGAGAATCAAGAGAAGCAAGCAATCTCCTTTCAAGATAAATGTCATGCATTTCTTTTCCACCCTGTTTTAAAACCCCGGAGGCTGAGCCCATTGAGTGGCCAACCAACCAGGCAGAGTCAACCAACCAGGCAGAGTCAACCAACCAGGCAGAGTCAACCAACTGGCCAGAAACCAGGGAAAACGAGGTGTACACTGCTATCTTTAGTAGCTCTACTAAAAAGGCTCCTGGACCTGATGACATCTCATTTTTAATTATTCAAAAGGCTTACCAAAATATTGCTCCAAGATTTCACGAGCTTTATAAAGCCTTAATTAAAAATGGCTATCATCCCAGGTGTTGGAAAACTGCCAAAGGGGTTATCCTTAAAAAATTGGCGTCTGCCAAAAGGGATTACTTCAAGCCCAAGGCCTACAGAGTTATTTCCCTGCTTAACTGCCTAGGCAAGGTAGTAGAGAAGATTATTGTAACTAGGCTATCTTATCTAGCTAAACTCCCGCAATCAATCCTCTACCATGACTAAATAAGGGGAAAAAAAAAAAATCAGTAATTAATATAGCACTATCCTTAGTCCATAACATAGAGGTGGCAAAACATGATAAAATGGTTACTACAGCTCTTTTTATAGATGTAAAAGGAGCTTTCGACTATGTATTTACTAACCAGCCACTTAGAATATGCCTAAAACTAGGTCTTCTACATAACCTAATCCGGTGGATCAAATCCTTTATGTCGGACAGGAAAGTGTTCCTAGCTTTTGACGGTGAAACCAGCAACGAGACCCCAGTGCAAGTAGGGATCCCCTAGGGATCACCTATATCACCCATCTTGTTCCTCATATATATTATAGAGCTCTTTCAGCTTGAAATGTATGAGGAACTAGATAGTAATACAAGGAAAGCCTTTGGAAATACCCGAAAGCCTAGCTATATAGATGATATATGCCTTACTATTAGCTCCAATAGCCTAGAGAATAACTGCAGGCAAATAGAGCTGGTAGCCAAAGACCATATCCAGTTTAACCAGGATAAAATAGAGCTTATTCACTTTAGCTCTAAACAACCAGACCAAGAAAACCAAGACACCCAGGTTAAACTAGATAATAATATCATAGTTAAACCAAGCCCTATAGTAAAATGGCTAGGAATCTATATAGATTCTAAACTCCTTTTTAAAGAACACGTGCAAATACGAGTTGCAGCTGCAACTAGGGTATTTCACCAAATAGCGAGGCTCTCAAATACAGAAAAGGGGCTAAGCTTCCAAGCTATAAGACAACTTTATATAGCATGCATTTCGCCTATTGCAGACTATGGAGTCCCTTTATGGTGGAAAGGCCAACAGTACCTAGTAGACCACTACCAGAAACTGCAAAATACAGCCTTAAGGAAAATTCTAGGGAATTTTAAAACATCGCCTGTACAGGCCATGGAAATAGAAGCATCCCTGCCCCTACCATTAGTTAGATTTAATAAAATCTGCAGAAACTATATACTTAGGACTGCTTATTTTATAAAATCCCATGTAATCCAAAGCAGACTTCTAACTATATTTATACTAAACCGGGGGAATTTGCTATTAACCAATCAAGGTTTTTAGACTGGAATAAAAAACCTAGATGGCTAGATCTAGAAGACCCTAAATACTATCCTAGAGAGAGACAAAAAAAACACCCTAGCCAGTTAATTCGACTGCTAGCACTTTTCTCTTTTAAAATATAGAAAGGCACCTTCCAGACACTAGATCACACCCTACCCCCCTGGTCCCAGCTATTAAACCAAATAATAGATATATCTATATCTAGCAAACCAAAAGAGCAAGCAGCCCAGGAACACAAGGCACTAATATCTTAATGGCTTGCTGGTAGAGACAACCACAAGATTATCTTTTATTTAGATAGATCCCAGCTGCAAAGTGGTTAAAATAGAGCAGGAATCTTCCTCCAAGAAAATAATCCTTAAAATCAAAAGGCTTGGGCATGGAATCTAGGTCACGAATATAAAGTCTACGACGTAGAGTTATTTGCTATTTAAATAGTATTAAAACAAGCATTTAAGACTATTTAAATTCCAACCTTAGATGTCTACATCTTTTTAGATAG